CACAATGATGTGCTTAAATGGTTCTCACATCACTGAGCCACAAATCTGATAGACCTCTACAGTCATTGTGAGATTTAATAACTGAGAGCAGTAAGGAAGCTTTGAATTACTAAATACTGATAACATTCTTGAAGAAAAAAATAAATGAACATTGAGCGAAATGCAGTCCCCGGATTAGCCTGCCCCTAGCCTGGGGCTGAGTAGGCTAACACAGTTTGCCTCATCATTCTCTTAATTCAACATTTTCACCCTGTGTTTGAAAAATATATTTCACATTTATGCAAAAGGAGGAAAGGTTATAACCCTCATTACATTTATATACTGCATATGAAACTGGTTATTATGCCAAGAGAATCTCAGTGTTTGCTAACTAATCATCCATTAGCCAAATCTCCCCAGTTATTAATCTCCAAGTAGAAGCCACCTATCCCAGGGACAGTTTCTGAGTAGAGAAAGTAACAGTTAGTCTTTATTTTTACTTTTCTTGTCCTAATTTTTGTTGTAGTTATCTGTGTTCAAGTCAACTCGGACTTATGGTGACCTTATGTACAATGGATTGAAATACTGCCCTGTTGTATATCATCCTCATGATGCCCAGCTTGTTCAAGTCCATTGTTAGTGTTATTGTGGCAATTCATCTCACCAGGGTCTCCCTCACTCTTGCTGGCCTTCCACCAACATGGTGTTCTTCTCCAGCAATTTGTTCTTCCTAATGGCATGTCCAAAATGAGCAAGTTGGATAATATTCTGTGTAATCAATGAAAATTTGGTTTTCATTGGCTAATTTTCTGGAAGCTTCCTGAAAACCTGTCTACCGTGAACCCTACTGGTATTTGAAATATTGGTGGCATAGTTTTTAGCATCATAGCAATACAGAAGCCATGATAGTACAGCAAACTGACAGGTTTGGTTGTTCTAAACAGGGTTAGATAAATCAAATGAGAAGCCTCTAGGGGAAAACAAAATGTAGTTTGAAGACCCTCCTTAAACCTGCTTTTGCCGAGGTGAGCAGGGAATGACTATCATTAGTAATTTTCAATTAGAACAAATGTAGCAGGTAAGAATAATCCCAGCTCCAAATTAAAAAACAAAACAGTAAGTGATGTCACTTTTTGCAGTTAGAGACAGTATGGCCTAAGAGAAAGTATATAGTCTTTGTTGTCATTGTTAGGTGCAATCTACTTAGCTCCAACTCATAGTGACCCTATGTACAACAGAACGAAACATTTCCTGGTGGTGCGCCATCCTCACAATTTTTGTTATACATCGTTGCAGCCACTGTGTCAATCCATCTTGCAGAAGGCCTTCCCCTTTCTCACTGACCCTCCACTTTACCAAGCATAGTATCCTTTTCTAGGAACTGCTCCCTTCTGACAACATGACCAAAGAAGGTGAGGTGAAGTCTGGCCATTCTCACTTCCAAGGAGCATTCTGGCTGCACTTCCTCCAGGACAGATTTGTTTGTTTTTCTAGCAGTCCATGATATTTTCGGTGTTCTTCATTAACACCACAATTCAAAGGCATCAACTCTTCTTCAGTCTTCCTTATTCTTTGTCATGCTTTCACATGCATGCATATACTCTTTAGAGCCATATAAAACCTGAATTCTATTATTTGATAGTTAGGCTCCTTGAACTAGTGACAACCTCACTGAGGTAAAATTTTTCCATCTGTAAAGTGGGTTAATAATAACCTTTCAGGGTCATTGTGTATGGCAGTATAAATACATGGTGGAGGATGATGATGATAGAACACTGCAAGAGCTCAATAATTTATAGCCCAAATGTCCACAGATTTCCTATGTCTTTGCTATGCATGTTACTGACTCATGGGCTCCTACTTGCATAATAGCACCCTATTGTTAAAGTCTCTTACAGTTATTTCTGGAGATCATCACAGTGTAAATCATACTGCGCAAGAAATGAGTTTGCCTCTGTCCTTCTGGCTTCCTCATGAAGTCACTGCCATGTGCTTCTGTGAGCAAGGCATCCCCTCCCTTGGAACATGCTCTAAGTGCCTTCTGGGAAAAAGTCTCAGACAGAGGCCTCAGTGAAGTCATACAATGCTGATGGCAGAAAGACGGGCTTCTTCCTCTTTCCCTTGAACCTTTAAGCGGTTCTGTCCTGAAAATAGACCTATTAACTCTCTTTGCTTCACTGTCAGGAATCATATTGGCAAATCAACAGAGCTGTTGACCATTTCCCTGCCTCTTCCCTCTGACTCCAGTAGTGTGCTACTTGCTGTCTAGGCATTATCTTGTCCTCCTAGAAGACTGTGAGGTTGATATATTTAAGGCCAATTTATAGATGAAGAGCTAGAAACTTAGGGAGATTCAGAATACCATCATTTGTCCTCTTTCTTCTTCCTTTAAATAAATACCTGGGATATCACCAGTCTCAGATACTCATTCTCTGTTAAGATCAGCCAAAACTTCCTGCAAAAATGATAGCTATTATTATAATTAGTGTTCTACCCCAACTGAACTTTGTTCAAAATTTACAATGATTCAAGAATATTGGGACTAAGTAGTGGTCTGCATAGTAGGAATTGAAGTACAAAAATCAGGGCAGTAGGGAGAAAACAGAGGCAGAGAGTTAGGAGACTAGGAGTTTGGAAAACAAATTGTGGAAATTATAAAAAATAAAGTTAGAGGAACTTCATGAGAGACTTTATAAATGAGACACTCTCTCTCTCTCCTAATCATTGTTTTTTTAAAAGTTCTTACATGCTACCAGCTACTTTTCTCACACTTTTATCCTCTTCCTACCTTTATCCCTTCTTTAAAAAAAAAAAAAATTATATATGTATATGTCCATCTTGTATGCAAAAAACAAGAGTTTCTCTTCCATTCTTTCTTTCATTTCCCATTTCCTTAACTCATCTTTTTTATCTCCAAAGACAGCTGGAAAATAACTGAGGAACTCTTTTTTGGTGAATAAGGATTTGATCACAGTCTCCAAAAAAATCTCTAGCGCCTACTTTCAAACTACAACCAGTTTCATATGCCATAGAAAACTTTAGTTCATGGAAGGAAAAGCCAAATTGGAATAGTCCAAGAATGTCTTTCCAAAAAGAGGATGATTTTAAGTATACTTGCCCAATTACTATCAAGAATAATTTTCTTCCTTAAGCAATAAAAAGATATTTGCTCTGTTGAAAATGCTTTGTGTCATTTATCCAGGGAAAATGAAGGATATTCTGATTATCAGTCCCTTTATTTGTCAAGCATAATTTTTCATCAGTTATATTTTAGCAAAAGACTAAATTCAACTTTAATTGTCTTTGCAAGAGTCTCCTAAGTAACCAAAAGAACAAAGACAGGCTCAGTGAATAATAAAGCAAATGTACTTTAACCTCAGCAATAGTTCTCAGATACTATTACCAGTCCCTTTTCTGTTAATATTTTAGATTCAAATATCCCCAATTCTTTCAATGAAATAGATTGACACAGTAGCTGCAACAATGGGCTCAATCATACAATGATTGCGGAGATAGTACAAGATAGGACAGTGTTTTATTCTGTTTTACTTAAGGGTCACTAAGAGTTGGAACTAACTCATTGGCACCTAATGACAATTCCCTCAGCTCTAGTGCTTGTTTTTCTGAATTCCCCAAATTACATGTCTATTTGGTGCTGATATCTGAAAAACAAGGAAAGATGAAACCAACAAGAGATGTGAATATACCCTGAGAGAATGGGACGGAATTGCAGCATTTCATTTTTTTTCTTAAAACTGTATTTATTGTTAGTGGCTCGAAGTGATCTGTAGATCAGAAAACTGAAGATGTTGAAACTTTACTTGTTACCACCACTGATATAGTCTCCTTTCCACCAAAGTCTATTCTCACCTAACCAGGATTCTCTGAAAAGAGGAGAATGGACCAGGGCATGGAAACCCCTGAAAAGTTCAGACACTATATTATTAGCATGCTTCTAACAGCTGCATATATAGAAGTCTTAGGAAAATACGACATTTTATTACTAAGATAATGAACTGCAATTTCAAACTAGTATTAGTTCATGGAGGAAAAGCCAAATTGGAATAGTCCAAGAATGTCTTTCCAAAAAGAGGATGATTGAAATTAATTGAAAATTGAAAATATTCCATTTTTTTTATTCATCAAATATAGGATTGATTATTTAGTTTTTAAAAGTGAAAATGTGCCTATGGATACATCTTAAATGTTGCTTCACATTTAATGTTGTCTCTCTTCACATGGTAGTTATGAACTTGGTGCCTCTATCTGAAAAGGACAACCATACTGAAAAGGATCACCATGAGTTGGAATCAACTTGGTGGCAACTAACATCTAAATATGAAGAGCAGATGAGACACCTAAAAATGTCCTTATTTACATGTTTCCTTTCCTTATAAGAGTGAGGGTGACCGACCTAATTTTTGCCTGAGCAATAAGGAAATAACAAGTGGCAACTTGGAAACTAATTCAGTCTTTGTCTCTCATACTACTACTTCAGGCCTTCCATTATTTAGTTCAAACTGATGCTGAATTGCAAGAGAGAAGCACAGATGATTGGTAAAAGTTCCTTGACTGAATTGAAGAATTTGGTTACTGTGTCTTCTTACACAAAATATGCTGTTACAGGATTCATTTTTTTTTTAAGTAGCAAAAAATATATAACACAATTACTTCGTATTTATAAAATCTGAATCACTTCTTTCCTATAAAAATTTAAGATCAATTTTCCAGGATGAAAGGAATAAACATGTACAGATGCAAATCAATTCTGTATTGGTTTCTTATTATCACATTAACAGAAAAGCTGAGGATATAAGTTATGACTTAATTTTGATTTTGAATGCATACAGCGATCTAATGTACATAAAATAACCATCACAGAACTAAACTGATGCATCCAACAGCTGGCTGCGTTTAAATGATTTTAAAATAAGTGCTTATAAAAAGTCAATTTTGGGTGTTTTGCTGCTTAGGAGTGAAAGAAATCACAAATATGTTTTGATGTTGATTTTCTCTGACAGGACTGGGAATTCCCACATTTCATGGGAGATGTAGATGTAAATCTCCCTGGGTTGCACACTCCTCACATGCAATTCAAGATTCCTTTCTTCCAGAAGATCTTCAAGGAAGAATATCATATTCACATAACAGGTATGATATAATGTTGAGCACAATTTATCTCTCTCCTTGTATGAAGGCAATGCTAGCTGCCTTTAAGAAAAGCAAACCGTACCATTTCAGAGGCACACATCAATATAATGCTGTTCCTCACTCACATAACAGTGCAGGTTGGTTCCAGGTCAGCTGGAGATTCTACTCTACACAGTAATTCTGGGATCTTGACTAATGGTGGCTCTTCAAACTTCAACGTCAACATCCAGCAGGTAGATGTGAATAAAGAGAACAAGGGAAATGGTTAAGACCACCTTGGTCTGGAAAACAAACACGTCACCTCCACTCACATGTCATTGGTGACAACCAGTCAAATAGCCCCATTTTGATTCAAGGAAAGCTGGAAAATGTAGTCCCCATTTAGGCAGCCATTCTGGTATCAGGCCTAGCATTTTAGTAGAGTATTAACAAAGAGAAAAAGAAAGTGTTTGGTATGGAGTATATCTTTGCTATACTCCAAATACCACGGTATCTTGACTTTGTTAAATGGGTTTCTTGCTCATAAAATACCACATTTCTTTCTCAACATTAATACTCTTTACGTGTTCCTTCTTCATTGCTGAAATGTTTAAAAAATGGTATCTTAGAGCTACCATCAGGAGCTCTGGTAGCGTAGTGCTTAAGGCACTTCACTGCTAACCAGAAGGCTGGTGGTTCAAACCCACAGGCCATTCCTCGGAAGGAAGATGGAGCAATCTACTTCTGTAGTGATACTGCCTCGGAAACCCAAAGAGGGGTCGCTATGAGTCGGGTCCAACTCGACGACACATAACAACAACAACAACAGAGCTACCATCAGACCATATGTCTTTAGTGAGTTAGGTTTCTCATTTAAGTAAACTTCTCATTTACTCCTGTGGCAGAGCTCATGTTCCCTGTTAGTCTAAAGTGATCCTCATGTGAATCCCCAGATTGTTTCATTTTCAATGTCTTGCTTTCAAAACTTCTGCAATATGATTAATTACAATATTCTATTACAGTATCTTAGTCATTCTCATCTAAAGGGGGGGGGGGCTTTCTGAGATTACGGTTATACCTTTAAAAAAAAAAAGCAAGAAGAACAGACAGATGAATGACCACAAGTGAAGGATGGCATTGGTACCCAAGCTATTCAAATGCAGGTAGTGAATTTGTGTGTTTTAGGAACAATGGCCTGGGATCCCACACCTGCTAGAATAAAAACTGCTGAAGAAATCTGTGCTTACACTACCGTCTGTGCTGCCAAATAAAAATAGCCTGAGCACAACAAATGCTAACATCTGAGTACTGCAAAAAACCTTTGGTTCCCAACGAGGAGGCTGTTTTCTGCTTTAAGCATGAAGCGTTATTCCTAAATTGGAGAATGAGCTCATGAATAGGGAAGATGCAGCAGGTTTCTTTTCCTATTCGAGATGAATAAAGCCCATTTATTAAATTCACTGGGCAAATCAGTCAATTTGAGTGCAGGTCACATAGTGTGGTTTCAGAGTCCCCACTTAATCTCTGTAGTATGCTATCCTCTCGGACTTCTAAAACAGCTATCACGCACATGGCATCATCATATCCCTTTGGGTAGGCTCTTGCCTGGACCATCTGTTCTTGCTATCAGCTCTTGTCCCAGACCATCATTGCACTAATATTGTCTCTGAGTATCAGAATGCCTGTCAAAAATATACTGCTTAAGTACAGAACATCAGGTTAAAATAAAATAATTGGAGAACCCATTGATAAGAAAATAATCAAGCTGTTAAAAAAAACATGTAATTCAGAGCTATTTTATTTGGCTTTGTTATCATCTTCACTGATTCAGGGACAGATTCAGAATTTGTGGTGCCCTCAGTTTATTCAATGTGGAATGCCCTACTTAAGAAAATGAATACATTACATATTAAAATTACGTTCAGTATCTTGGAAGGGGCCCGTGCATACAAGAGTCCCTGAAGTTTCACTGTCATTAGCTTCAAGGTAAATCCTCCTTTACATTTGGAAAGAAGCAGATACTTGACTTCATTTGAACTGAAACCTTTCCCCACCAAGTACTACTTTCCAAAAACTTAGAAGAAGAGAGATTTAGGTAAGATTTTGTAATGAAGACCGCATGATAATAAGATTTGCCAGAAGTGGAATGTATTGTAACTTAGATTTTGGTGTGGAGTTTACCAAATTATGCCTATTATCATATCATTTTGGAGACTTCATCATATACAGATTGCTGACCCCATTTTGAAATGGTTCTGGTCCAGTAGGTCTGTACAAGGGCTAGGGAATGGGTACTTTATGAATGTTCACCCAGATGATGCTGATAATTATTTTATTTGGAACCTGCTCCTTCTCATTGAGAAGCCATGGGTGAAGTCAGACCACCTCCCTAGATCAACCAGGCAAACTATTGAGGACCTGGATGTGCTTAGAAGGCCTGTGAGGATTCTGAGCTCTAATTTCAAAATAGAGAGTAGCATGGGTAATTAATAATGGACTCCAGCATCAATAATATAAGTCCAAGGTGGAGTAAGATGTTCAAATGAACCCCCAGAACCTTGATAAATTTTCTAGGAAAATGGCTACAGGTTTGGAAATTATAGGAAGTCAGAACTTTGCTCCTCTTGCTTTTGTTCTGTTACTCTCTTTGTTCTGTTTATTGGCTAGAGATATTGCTGGGGCCACTCTTAAACCAGACAATAAACAGCATTACCTAAGAGAGCATTTGAAAGTACTCACTCTGACCCTTGCCCAAACCTACTGCATCAGAACCATTCATTGGCCAACTACCTAGCCTCCTGTGAAAGACCATTTTCTTATCCGACTTTTGACTTTGTAGAACAATTGTTTCAGTGAAAACCTAGAGTAAAATTTCCAAAACACTGTGCTACCAATTACATTCTAATATTCTCAATAGTTAGCATTGGTATGTGAACTGTAAATGCTAACTTGTTAATAAGTTAATAAGGTCCTCCCAACTTCTCTGTCTTTTTCTATGGAGACTCCAGAGCTTTTCTTGATAAGCAAGATTGTGTCATTACCTGGGTTGTTAAGCGTGAAACTCTCTATATTCATCAGTGATTCCCAAACTTTAATATGCATTAGAACCACCTGTCAAACTCCCTGTTCCATTGAATCAGTTGATTCCAACTCATAGAAACCCACAATGGGTTTCCAATGCTGTAAATCTTTACAGAAGCAGACTGCCCCACCTTTCTTCCATGGGGCAGCTGGTGAGTTTGAACCACCAACTTTTTGGTCAGCAGCCAAGTGGCTTAACCAGTATACCATCAGAGCTCCTTCAGAATCACCTGTAGACCTTTTTAAAAAGATGCATCTGTAAGTTATGCTCCCACCATCTGGTGGACGAGATATGGAGTAGAGTCTGGAGTCTGCCCTTCTATAAAGCTCTGAAAGTAATACCTACACAGACAGCAGAGGACCACTTTTTGAGCAACACTTTCAATAGTCAGAATATGACCTTAAGTAAATCCTACCTGAATTTAAAGACCATATTGAGAATAGATTTGATTCATTAAACACCAGTGGCCAAAGACCAGATGAGTTGTGAAATGACATCAAAACATCATAGATGAAGGAAGCAAAATGTCATTTTAAAGACAGGAAGGAAAGAAAAGACCAAAAGGGATGTCAGAAGACACTCTGAAACTTGCTCTTGAATGGAGAGTTACACTAAAGCAAATGGAAGAAATGATGAAGTAAAAGAGCTAAACAGAAGATTTCAAAAGTTGGCTTGAGAACACAAAATAAAGTATTATAATGAAATGTACAAAGACCTGGAGTTAGAAAACCAAAGAGAAGAACATGCTCAGCATTTCTCAAGCTGAAAGAACTAAAGAAAAATTCAAGCCTCAAGTTGTAACACTGAAGGATTCTATTGGCAAAATATTAAACAATGCAGGAAACATCAAAAGAAGATGAAAGGATTACCCAGAGTCACTGTACCAAAAAGAATTGGTCAATGTTCAGCCATTTCAAGAGGTAGCATGTGATCAAGAACCAATGATATTGAAGGAAAAGGTCCAAGCTGCACTAAAGGAATTGATGAAAAACAAGGCTGTAGGAATTGATGGAATACCCGATGAGATGTTTCAACAAATGGATGCAATGCTCGAAGCACTCATTTATGCCAAGAAATTTGTAAAAAACCTACCTGGCCAATGGACTACAAGAGATCCTTATTTGTGCCCATGCCAAGAAAGGTGAACCTATAGAATGCAGAAATTATCTGGTGGCATAGTGCTTAAGGTTGGCGGTTCAAACCCACCAGCCACTCCTCAGGAGGAAGGTTGGGAAATCTACTTCCGTAGTGGTATTGCCTCAGAAACCCAAGGAGGGGTCACTATGAGTCAAATCTGACTCCATGGCAGTGTGTTTGGGTTTTTTGGTTTGGTTATCATTAATATCACACACAAGTAAAATTTTGCTGAAAATATTCTTAAAAAATGGTTGCAGCAATACATCGACAGGAAACTACCAGTTTCAAAAGGACACGGAATGAGGATATCATTGCTGATGTCAGATGGGTATTGGCTGAGAGCAAAGAATACCAGAAAGATGTTTACCTGTGTTTTATTGATTATGCAAAGGCATTCAACTGTGTGGATCATAACAATAATGGATAATATTGAGAAGAATAGGAATTCCAGAACACTTAACTGTGCTCATGAGGAACCTTATATAGAACAAGAAGTCTGAAAAAGTTTGAAAAGAATAAGGGGTTTACAATTAGGGAAGATGTCTGTGAGGGCTGTATCCTGTCACCATAGTTATTCAATCTATGTGCTGAGCAACTAATCCAAGAAGCTGGATTATATGAAGAAGAGTGCAGCATCAAGATTGGTGGAAGATTCATTAACAGCCTGCACTAGGCAGATGACACAACCTGGCTTGCTGAAAGTGTGGAAGACTTAGATTCATTAACAGCCTGCACTAGGCAGATGACACGACCTGGCTTGCAGAAAGTGTGGAAGACTTGAAGCACTTACTGATGAAAATCA